AAAATTCTACTACCATTCCTTCATCACCTTACACGAAATAGGGTGAATACATCTCATAAAACGACAATACACCTCGTTCTTGCCTTCTTCTCTCCACCCTATAGCACCAGTTCAGTACATTTTGTGTCAAACTTGCATGTGTCAGTTTACATGTCATGGATCAACGCCCGTCTACAAGCATTCTAGAATAGGGTCTTCAGTCACCCTTGGTCACCTCAAGTGATCTAAGGACCGATAGTTGGAATGTTCTTCATAGAATGAGTTGTACTAGAAGGAATTCTAAAGTCTATCCCACCATAAAATGACGGCAGGTTCCTCTTGACCAGCTGTCGATTTGCTTCAGTGGAACATTCTTCTTCGATTCCGGTGAAAACATGTTAAGCTTTCGTCTGTCGTATGGCAAACATCAGCACTGTAGGCTATCATCTATACAGCCGAATTCAAGCTAACGAGTCAAGAAAACTTGATTCTCTCTTCGCCAAACACTTTTACTGGAAATGGAATTATGAAACAATATATTTCTTTGCATATACTAAATAATTGTGGCCTATGAATACTCAAATTGAGGCGCCCACCACAGGGTTTTGGCCCATGTGTTTGGGAAGTTGCAGCCGTATTAAAATGAGGATTTAGGCAAAACGACAATACGCCTCGTTCTTGCCTTCTTTTCTCCGCCCTATAGCACCAGTTCACTACTTTTTGGGTCAAACTTGCGTGTGTCAGTTTACATGTCATGGATCAACGCCCGTCTACAAGCATTCTAGAATAGGATCTTCAGTCACCCTTGGTCACCTCAAGTGATTTAAGGACCGATAGTTGGAATGTTCCAAGTTTTACTTGGAATATGGAAAGCGAACCTTTCGAAACTACCACCAGAACATGTTTAAACATTTGAGGCGGCCCATGTTGCCAAGGTTAGTGTAGGGCGCGATGGTGGAATTTTCGACAATGATGCGTTTGGTCAGTTCAGATGAGAAAACCTTGTCAGGCGAGATTACTTGAGATGCACATTTGATTGTGAGCAAATTGCATTATCAGTCGTGAACGTCAGTTTAAGCGACCCGGGTCGAATACAGATCCTATTCAAGAGGCATACACATTATCTTCGCTCAGCAATATACTTTGATCCTGTGACTGAAGTGAGTATGATGATGGCTGGCGAGTCGAGCTTTGCTGAACCTACCGAGGGACCATACGAAGACATTGACCACGAAGATGGCAATCCACTGGATCAAAGTGACCAAGCAGAAGTCGGACTGATGTGATTTCTGCAGATTGGGGGCAAGGATGCTGATGGTCAGTCAGAGAGGGTCAGCGTTATCACTTCAAGGTCAGTATGTTTTGAGATATGGACAGTTGGTTACCTGGTGACGCCACATCGACTGTAGCAAGGCAAATGGTATTGCAATAAATTTTCAGACAACTGTTATTGAGCAAAATTGTTTAAGAATCTCGTGCACTGCGCCATTTTGTGTCGGCAACTTTGGGTTTGTCTAAATGTGTACAAGTTTTTTTCATGTTTATCTGAAACTCCCCGCAAAAGAGATGATTTAGAGCGGGACCATTTCGCCTACAACGCACGGCGAACCCAGCCTCAGTTTAAAAACTCCTTAACGGGCACCTCGCATACTCTCGACGGGATGGGCATTCCGGTCGCTCGCGAATTGTCAGTTCCATGATGCGTGACGGAAGCAATTCAGCGCGGACGCTTCATGCGTGAAATTGCCTCGATTACGCATTGCAAGTTGATGCTTCCCAATTGGACACATCAAAAGGACTAGTCCAAGTATGGCGGACGTCTAGTTGAGTCGCCATTGTGAGAAGTGAACCGAAAACTGGCCAACAGCTCCTGCGACTTGGTGTCAGCAGAGCTAGCCGGACAAAATAGGCCCAACAAATGATATGCTTGTCGTTTACCAGGTCGCAATTGCATGTCTACGGACATGGAAGACATCTGGTTTAAGGTGTCAAACCCTCTTTTAGTGCCTCTACCAGTTTAGTTTTAAATGAAGCCATAATAATTCGCTTATTCCTTGCTTTTATTGCTCGTTTTAAATAGTCTATCCCAAGGTCTATAAATAAATAGGCTAAGAAAGAAGTCGTAAATTGTCAGTCCCTTAAGTATTTTCCCTCTGCACTAGGAAAGGATAGAGACTCTAACTAAGATGAATTGAAAAGAAGACTTGATGCTGCATTGAACTTGCCTGCCTCATGCATCCTGAAATAGTTAAGTCATCTCGGCTGCTTCATCCGATTTCACGAGGCAACACGCTAACGTATTTTTGTTCGTCCATATAAAGTACTACCAAAGAAAAGGAGTAAATTATAAGGAACCCGGAATACTGAGATATTTTAATACTTTAGAGCATATGCAAAGAACAATATAAATACTGACAAAGCATATTTAACATGATCAACTCGGATAAATCAAATTTACCCTACTATCAAGAAATCAGTAGTATGTATTTTCTCATCGAGATTGAGGTCATTTGACTTAAGGCTAGCGTGTCCACACTTCAAAACACACTGACTTGATTATGAGACAATTAAAGAAGTCAATCTTGATTAAAACAGACTTTTATAATACAAGGCGAAGAGCATCATTATGTGTCTCTATCAACCCAACAGGAAACTGGCAATCCTTCCCGAATTGAAAACGCTCACAAGTTCATGGGTAGATTGTAGCTTTCTTGACAGGACTTGCTCAACCATTTCAGCATTGAATTGCCCTTTCAGAAACGACTACCGCATCCAAATGAATTTGAGAAAGCAAACAATATGATAAAACAGTCATGT